AAAATGTAAAAAATCATCCAGCTTATATCAATTATACAGTTATAAGTTTAAAATCCAGCACTGCCAATACATATACAGTGATGGAATGGTCAAAATTATACTTTTTATAGAAAAGATTCAGTCTGCTTTATGAATTCCATAAAAGCCAGACTGATTTAAGCACCAGTTTATCCTAGTCATTTTCTAAATTTTAATTTCAGTCTATCTTTAATATTTAATTTCAATCTTTCAATTATTCAATTATGTATATTCCACAAATTAATAATTTTTTAAAACTAAAATGAATAAACTATTGCAATTTAGACATTCCATACACATGAGAAGTGAAGTTTAGCAACAAATCTTTTGCATTGAAACCCATGCAATAACTGTTCAATATATTTAATAATAAAATACTAATACTAAAACGCTTGACCAGCCTAATTAATTTACCTTATATAGCCCACGTATACCTTCATACTTGTATATTTTAATAAGAGCATCCAACATCCCTTTGTACTGCTTCTTTGAGAGGTCAGCACCGGCGTCATATTGTAACACAAGCCGAGTCTTGGTTACCCATATTGGGTTGGTAATACACAAAGTCATCACTCCTATCAAATATAATTTGAAAATCTTATCAGTGCTAGCATCTTAGTATTACAGAGAACTTCAAACATAATTTGAAAATTTCTGATTTATGTATCACATGGAATTTATGCATTCAATTTGCAAAAAAACTCAGTATACTTATGTAGCAAATATTTACCAAATAGTTTTATAGAACCACAATTATAATAATAAATCAACTTTCTTGGAAAGAAAATCCATTTAATACATGGATTTCAGTATAACTTGTATTGTAAAACTGGGAATACATTTGTGGTATCTTTGTATTGTGTTCAGGAAGTATGGATAAGAATTTGTAAGAAAACGTTAGAGAAAATAATCTTTTTAAAGATCTAATACTCAGCAAGTTGAGCATTTGTACTTTCAATAGGACAAAAAAACATTTTTAGATGTTCAAAATTATTTTCTGAACTAAACATATCAAAAACAAAGTATGTCATATAGGCAGGCTACAAATAGCTCATATATTTCTTACCAGCTTCAGCTGCTGACACTAGGTGTTCAATTGCTCCAAGGTTTTCCATCTTATCCTCTGTCTTGTTGGCTTTAATTGCATTGTAGCTGAAGAATCAAATATGAAGATTAGCAAAACCATATTATTACTTGATATAGAAACATTAAAATAACCTGTTTAAGTAAAGTTGAGGCATTTTTGGCTGTTAAGAAAAATGTCAATATATTATGGGAACATCAAAAACACCATGCAGACTTTTGAGTTTTTAAGAACTCTTTATCTACTTGCATGTGCAAGTTTGTGCAAGTCTAAATTTGCACACGTGTCACCTCTCTTGCAGAGCTTCATTGGTTGCCAATTTGCTTCTAGATCCAATACAAGGTGCTGATTATCACCTTTAAAGCCCTACGTTGCTTGGAGTCACGTATCTGAAGGGCTGTCTTTTCCCACTACATCAATTTGACTCACCAAATCAGGAAGGCAAGGTACGTTATGGGTCCCTTCCATCAAGAATGTCTACCTACCAGGACTAAGAAAAGAGCCTATTCCATATTGGCTCCCTCCCTATGGAATGTCATTCCTGCACAGGTAAGACCTTGATACTATTTCAAAAGGGTTTGAAGACATGGTTTTGTCAGTGGACCTGGGGATTCCAGGTTGATATGGAGCCCATCAAGCACATGTTGTTGCTGGGGGGAGGGAGTTTATTGGGTTTTCTAGTTGGGATTTTATTCTTGTATAGGCTGTTCAAGTCACTATCTGTTCAGTTGCCGTATAAACTTAATACAAAATCTAGTAAAATTGTAATAATCCTCATTTTTGTTTATTTATCATCTTGCCTGGTTAGCAATTTTGGGAATTTGAATGTTTTCATGTCATTGTGTGATCCCAAGTTTGTGTATGGAATTCAGAATATAAACTCACCAAATATTGTCTTGAATTAAATAGCCATTTCACACATGCCCAGTTATTGTGAATAGCTTTCTTCAAACTGACCCTATGCCAGTGGCGGCGAACCTATGGCACAGGTGCCAGAGGTGGCACTCAGAGCCCTCTCTGTGGGCATGTGCGCCGTCGCCCCAGTCCTAGGCCTTCAGCTGGGTTTTATAAAACCTTTTCACTTTAGGCCTCCGCCGCCAGGTGCAAAAAAAAAAAAAAGGTTCAATCAGTCAATTTCAACTTCTCGCGGGAAAAAAAAGATCTTGCAAAGTTGAAATTGATTGATTGAACTTTTTAGTCCCACCCAGTCTACCGTTACCACCACAGCCACACCCACCCAATTGGCCACACCCACCCAATTGGCCACACCCACCTGGCACTTGACGATGCGTAAGTGGGTTTTGGGTTGCAGTTTGGGCACTCGGGTCTCTAAAAGGCTCGCCATCACTGCCCTATGCCCTTTCATATTTTGCTGTGCTTGATGGATAAGATATTGCCTGCTCTCCCTTACATGGGAATCTCCATATATTTGTGCCAAAGTAGGAGGTTTGGATATGGTATTGAAAGTGACACTCCAAAGCCCCACAGATGTTGATATTTGATAATCTTATATTCAGTGGCCAATAAATGGGAAGGCAGTTTACACAACTGATGCTTCTCTTCACTTCTTCCCTGTTGAAGCTCCTGGTAAGCTATAAATGTTTCTAGGTGATCAAGACACAATCCAAAACAGCAGTGCTGCGTTATATATAGATAGGAGCTATGTAGTGTTTCAGATTTGGTTCTAAAAAAGATGTTTTGGAGAGAACATGGATGCAAACATAGCACGATTTTCAATTCTAAAATGCAGCTTTATCTCTTCTTGGAAAAAAACTTAAAAGAGTTGCAGAGAGGTGCTATGTTAGTACCCTCACATGTTCCAAAGCACCTTTTTGGGAGCCAAGTCCAAAACAATGCATAGCTCTAATACAGATGTGATGCAAAGAGAGAAATTATCTGAAATCATGGACAGGAGCTTGCAACATCCCTCACTACCTGCTTCTGCTCTCCCATGCAGTCTTGTATGATAGAACCGATAATCTTAGATAGGACTCCAACTCTCCAGAGAAGATCTTGGGGAGTACAGGAGGCTATGGGGAAGAGGAAAGGAAAATAAAAATCAGTTGCACAAGTTGCCTTTCAACCACTGTGCAATGATTCCTGACAGCTACTTTAGTGACTGAAATTTAAAAGGCCCCAACTGTATGAAAACTACTGAATGACCTAGGGCAGTTTTACCAAAATTGAGAAACACTGATTAGAGTTAATAAGAATAAGTTAAGCTTTTGCTATTGTCTGGGAAAGAATAATCCAAAGGAGCAGTATAGGCCACTGACAAGTATTAGCTTAGCGCTGTAAAATCTTCCAGTTAAAGCCTAGAATAGATGGACAAAGTTAACATATTTGTTAATCTGCTATGGGAGAAGTGAAAAAATCTGGGAAAAAACCAAACTGTTTTGGGATTAACTGGGAGACATTTAAACAGTTTCAACTTACAAGAAAAAATACAGACCCCAAGAAGCACCTGCACCCCAAACATTTGGAGTCACTCCTTGGTACAGACCACGTAATCCTTCTTGTTTCCAGATGGTTGACAAACAATGCAAGATACCATTGTATTTTGGTCTCAGCTCCAAGCCATCACTCACTACACAAAAGAATTGGAAATTAGTTTGAAAACTGTATGCTCTTGAATCAGTGATCAATGTGATTCTCTTAGACTTAGACAACCACAGTATGGGTTTTTTTCTATCCTGATGAGAACAAAACTCCAATTTCATGCATTATGTGTCCATAGGTTACACTAACAACCTCTTATTCCCCAATTCCTGGTGTCCACATCTCTTCCACAGGTAGAAAAAGCAGCTGATGTATCATCCTACATCTCTAAATTCATTTAACAGTAGAAACATCCAGGTAATAACAAAGATTTTCTTGGAACAACATTTTTTATGCAGAAAATTCAGTATCTGGCCTCAAGCTAAAAGATTGTCTTAAATAGGTGCCTAGTATGTTAAAGTCACTCACGCCCTTGTCACCTCCCGCCTGGACTACTGTAATGCTCTCTACATGGGGCTCCCCTTGAGGAGCACCCGGAGGCTCCAGCTGGTCCAAAATGCGGCCACGCGGGCGGTGTTGGGGGGGACTCGACGTTCCCACGTGACACCGCTGCTGCGCGAGCTGCATTGGCTGCCTGTGGCCTTCCGGGTGCGCTTCAAGGTGTTGACTATCATCTTTAAAGCGCTCCATGGCATCGGACCCGGATACCTTCGAGACCGCCTCCTGCCGCAGATTACCTCCCATCGACCTGTACGCTCCCACAG